CAGTGGGGCACAGTGGGGGATGAGCAGGCTCCAACATCTGTTGAAGGAAACTGGGATCACTCTCCACAGGAACAGGGACCAAAAGGTGGCTGGGGAGGAAGCATCCACTGAGATCAGATGCCTCCTGGCAAGCTGCCTTGGAGGAGCTGAGCAATCCTATCGGAGGTGTGAAAGAGCAGCGATGCAGGAGCCAGGGTTGTGGGGACAGGAAAAGACCTGCTGACGGGTCCACTCAGTTCAGTAAGATTGAGATGGCAATCCTGGATAGATGTTAAAGTTCTCACTATCTAGAGAGAGCCAGAGACCCACTTCCTCCGATGTCTGTGCTTCCTGTGCTGACCGTAGGTGGGCTGTCAGTGGGGCCAGAGTAGACATGCTTGTGGACCAAGGGTTGCCTGCTAATGCAAGGGGCTCCAGTCCCACTTTTCTGTGTCATTATGCAATGTTAGTGTCATCGCAGTAAGGACCCACTCAAAACCTGTCGTCTCCGAGATACCAGCAGGACTTGTATGTGGCTAAACCCATGAAGCCATTTATTGGGCATTTCCTTCTCCTTGGCTGGTCTTTCCTGTCACAGGTACTGAGTGACCTGTGCTTCTGACCCCTCCTGATCTCTCCGCGTGAACCACCTTGGCAAGTGTTGGGCTCTGAACCATCACCTGGCCCACAGGGAGAAACCATATGATTCTCTACCTCTTGGTCATGCTTTGTTTGCAGCCCCTGGGCATCAGCCTTGGCTCACCTTTGCAGGGCATCTGTATGCCCAGTCCCTGCACCTCTGCTCCTGCAGGGCAAAGCAGGTGGTGAAGAGTGACCAGGCTGTCTGAAAGCAAAGGGTGGGCTGTTTAGAGCAATGCACTGGGGAGATGGTGCCTCTCAAAGGCTGCAGAGTAGGCCGTGCGTCTGCTGGGCTCACTTGCTGCCTAGCTGCTTTCCCCTGACCAGCTCCTCTGCAGAGCCTCACCTGCACCAGCCCATATCCTTGGCAAAGCTCCCTGGATACCCTGCATGACTTGCCTCCCTGCCCCCCTTCTCCCCCCCATGAGGATCAAGTCACTTTTCAGCTGTTTCTACCTGCTTTGCTCCCTAACTTGGCCTAGAGCCTGGGAAGATGCTATTGCTTCTGACAGATGTTCATATCTTGGATTTCTGTCTGGGAAGGCATGGTGTCACTGTCCTGCACTGACCCCCAGAGTCTGGGCTGCTCCGTGTGGCATCCCAAGGGGTTCCTTTCCCTCCTGACTCTGTCCTGCTGTGTCCCTGATGGGGATTGCAAACCGAAAGTCTGTGCTTTGCAAGTATGTGTATGTGTATGTGTGCAGGGTTGTAGCTGTCAGACTTATTGCTCTCTTCAGCTCCACCCCATTCTCCTCATTGGCTCCAGAAAGGCCCGACAGGGATGACTGATTTATCAGTCTGATCAGGCAGCAATTTCTGCATCCAAACAACAGCCCCTGACACCTGGGGCCACAGCATGGCTTCTTGTCCCTCATCTGCCACCAAATTGCTGCTCACAAGGAGTTAACCAGAGCTACATAGGGTGAGCAGACCCCATTGCCCCTCCCAGTCTCTTAGTGCCCAAGTACCCGAGAGTTAAATTACCCCGTTACCTTCTTCCCATGAACTGCTCCCATGGCGCAGGCGTCCAGCGTGCGGGCAGTCCCTTCAGATTGTCCTCCGGAGCTGGCACTTTGCAGACTCCGTATTGTTCCCTGATGGTGTCCCACAGTCTGTAGAGAGGCACGGGCTGCATTAAACAGCAGGGAATGTGCAAAGGCGCAGTGCCTGGCTCCCTAACAGCCCCGTTGATTCTGCAGCAGACGGCAGGCAAAGAGCAGCAGGGTCTTAAAGGAGATGGGCAGAAAGGTAGCCCTTTGCTTTATTGCCCCAGCACGTCAAGACCTCGTTCTCGTACACCTAATGACTGGCTTGCACACAGGCTCCGGCCAGACACAAAGGCAGCTTTCATGCTGTAGATGCCCTGCTTCTAAGCTGGGCTCCTTATTTTGAAAGGCTGTGAGAGATTACAGTAATTACACTTGACAGGGCGAGATGTTGCAGAATGCAGAGATGGTCTGAGAAAGAATCACGCTGCTGGGCTCTGCTGGGTCCCAGAACCGCGAGGTCCTTGTCTGCCGGGCGCCTGACTGTTATTTGCTTTGCACTTTGCAACGGCTTTATGGAAATGCCCTAGAAAAAAACCACGTAGCCCCACTTCTCAGGGAACAATGCAGGATTCTTGCGTCGTGGCTGGGGTGGGGCACCAGGGCCCACCTTATAAGATGCAGCCAGGCAGCACTCCAGCTGGCATACATGCTTGCTGCTGCCCGCAGGCAAGTGTCTCAGACAGGATGAGCAGTGGACCCCGCTGGGGGCCCGCTAGCCATGCACAGCCCTGCCATTTGAGGGCTCTGTTCTGCAGTCTCGTTGGGATGCCAGGGGGCCCAGGACAGAGGCCAAGGCATGAGCCCCTCGTCCTCTCACGCCTATGTTGGGTAACTCACTCTGACTTTCTGTCATGGACTTTCCGTGGGCTGTGGCCCTGTGCATTTGCCTGGGTGTTGCACCCACAAAACCTGCTGCTGCTGAGCTTGGTGCCAGACAAGGCAGCTGAGTCCCTGGCCCCTCTCTGCGCCCCAGTAAGATCTCAGCAGTAAAGAACCTGTAAGCAGGGGCGTCCTCGGGACACCAGGAACCCCTGCCCGCATTAGTACAGTCGCATAAAAAGCCAGACGCCTAGTTGTGGTTCCTGAGTCCGTATTTCAGCACTGAAGTTAGAGGCTCCATGGGAGCAGCTGTGCGTGCGCCACCCTGATGGGCTACTGGCCACTGATGGACCACAGTGTCTCATTCTAGATTCAGGAGCCTAAATTTTCACCTGCGTTTTCTGGAACCTTTGGCCTGTACTAAATGCTCAGGCATCAACTCCAAACTGTGTCTTTGCTCTGTGCCATAACCTGAAACGAGCTATTTGGAGAAATCCCTTGGATTAAAAGCAAATGAGCGCACTTGAAACCAGGTGCAAACCAAACTTTGTGAGAATGAACATGAAAGGCTGTAAACTTATGGGAGATACCTGCAGCTGGTGTTTAATTGCTGTGGAATTCCTCTTTGATGGTATTCAGGAACCTGACATGTCTGCTGCCTGCATGCTAGACATGTGTTGTTTAAAAGGCTTTCATTGGTTCAGCTGACATGGTTTCTAACTGCTGTTGTGGGTGTGCAGGATAAAGCAGTCGAGTTTAAGAGCCACGTTCCTGTAGCAGGAGCCGGACCTATTCTTTTTGTAAATCCCAGCTCCACTGGGTGGCTGAACTCATCATAAAGGAGGATACATACAGGAGGATCCTGGTGTGAGGGTGAAGGCTGGTTTCCCAGTTTGGGCTTTGGGAGTAACCAAGAGAATTCTGCCTTTCTGTTCATGTAGGGCAGAGCTGCAGGTTGTTTTTCTGAGTCCCTTTTTTTCAGGGTTAGGAATCTGGGACTGGAGGCTAGTGGCCAAAGATCAAGGGGGCAAAGTTTGGGAGTTCAGAAGATGTAAGTTAATGAGGAGCAGAACGAGCTGCCCTTTGTCCAGTGCACTGTGTGCTCTTGTCAGGCTGTGACTCTTCTGCAGGCTTTTGAGAGAGCTCATCTTTAATGCAGCCCCATTGACTCCAGGGTACCGGACATGGTCCACCAACCAACCCAGAGTCTGATACATTTTGGAAGGCCCCCAGATCCCAGCAGATTTGGAGGAGACCTGGGGTGATCTCACCAGGAGGAGGAGTTTATTGGCTGAGTGGGACCGACTGGATCTGAACCTGCAGTGAAAAGGGTCAAGATTTGGTTCCCTTGAAGGTTCATTTTCAATGAGTTTCCTCTGTCTGCACAAGCTTGCTGTCCCCAGGCTGGCTGCTCATGGCCAGCTCTGGCTCAGCCCCTGGGTAGAACTGATGAACACATTGCACTTACCTTCCAACCTCTGTCCACTCCTCTTAGGATAAATTAGATCTGATAGGCACCTGCAGCAGTGACACCTCCAGAAAGCTACCTATGGTGCAGGGGCGCTGAACCAGATGATCTTCCAAGGTCCCTTCCAGCCTTACAATCAATGAATTTAAGAGCTTGGCGCAGCCCCAGCCCCAGCCTGCACTGGCAGCCTGCCCTTGCCCTGCATGCAGATCCAGGGGCACATGCCCCTCATGCCTCCCCCTGGGGTAGATGCAGCAGTAGGAGCCATGGCTCTGTCCCATGCCCCACCCCACTCCCACCCTCACTGCAGGGGCCTTGATCTCCACTCCCCATGCCCCTTCCCTTCCCCATGTCCCTTCCCCACCCAACAGACTTACTGGCCGGATGTTGCTCTCCAAGCTGCCCGGCAGCATATCGGCGATCAGATTGGTATCATCCGATATGGCTCATTAAAAATTGGCCATCTGTATTTCCCAAAAAATCTCTATCGGTGCACCCCTACTCACCCTCTTGGGGATCAAGAGTGGGGTCTTGAATTTGGCTGGGTGAATGTGCAGGGACCAAGTGGTTGATGATCCTGGGGTCCCCGTGGACAGCCTTTGTGTTTGGTTGACTTACAGACTGCTGAACGCATACACAAAAGTGGCTCGAGGCCTGGCCTGCAGAGGTGACCTGCTTCCACATGCATCTTCCACCAATAAGACCAACTGCAAGCAATGCTTTGTGTGTGTAAGAGAGTAATCTTGTGTGTGTGCCACTCGCTAAGGCTAAATACAGCTCTAGTTTCTATTATACTGAGACAGCCTGGTCTGGCTTTCCAGAAGAGGTCTCAAATATAGCACCCTGCATCTGCATCTCTGCCGGTGGCAGGCTTCCACCTGCTGGTTAGCCCACAACACTTCAACCTGCTGCAATATTGTACTTGCGCTTCTGGTTAGTATTCCTGCCATTCCAGTTAATAGCTCAAAACACCTTGTGCCCTGTACTGGTTGTGCCCTTCTGTAATATTTGAGAGAGACAAAGGACTACAGCTCCCAGTCATGACATACCTTCTTGCTCTCAACATGAGCCTTTATTAATATACTAGAATACGTGTTGGAATCTGCTGGGCATCAGCCAGGGTGTCAGAGATGTGCTGTTATAGCACAGACTAAAGCACTTGTAAAGCAGGGATCAATCACTGTTTTAAAAGAGCTGATCAAAAGAAAATTAATCTTTCATTTAGGCTTGACATAGGAGCTGTTTGGAGGTCCACCCACCACTACTTCATCTTCTGTGGTATGCAGCCCTCCATTTTCAAGGCCACAGGAAGTTTTAGTTCTCTGTCTGTTTCTTTATTGAGTTGCAGAAGCTGTAGGGGGAGGAAAGAAAAAAAGCAGAGAGCTTGGCAGTAGGTGGTCCGTGAACAGGGAACGGCACATTCAGAGCAAGGCTGTAAACCCAAATGTTCTTTCTGAGGCTGCTAGTGGACACAATGCATGGATAATCTCATACCCACGCATATAGTAGGCAGGCTCAGCACTGGCACTTGAGTTAACAGAGAAATCCCATTCTGTTTTCTCAAGGGGTGGTATCCTGGTGTCCTCTGCTCCTAACCTACTGTGCTTGGCTGGTTGATGGGATACTGGTATATGAGGGGCCTCAAACCACTTTTTAAATTTGCTGCTGCCATGTCCCTGTTGTGGATCTTAAAAAAGTAAGTATGTTGCTGCGTCAACACTGAACCCTCAGAGATGTTTTCCATCCACATCTGTTTTCTCCCTTTCCATCCTCCTGCTTTCCCACCCCATTCTTTCCCCCAGAAGTATGCGTGCCCCAGTTTGAGAAACGCCAGTCTAATCAGCATGCTTGGGTCACCGCCGAGTTGTTGGCCCCCCGCTGGAGTCTGCTCCTTTTTGCCGGCCACACGCCAAAGCAGCATCAATGTGTGCAAGGAGGGAGGTGGCACCCGTGGCTCCCAGCCCACAGGCACACGCTGTTCCATGCAGACCGTGTGCTCCGGGAGCAGGACAAGTGAAGGGAAGTGCGTGCGTAGGGGGAGTCGTGTCTAGAGAGACACAGAACATGCAGATCTTGTCTCCATGACCTGAAGTTGCACTGATCTGCCTGATGCTACGAGTGGTGCTGGGATTGGGAGAAAAGCAATTTTTCATATTCCCCATGGACTGTGAGAAGGTTTGGAGCTGCTTTGCCTGCAGCAGGTCCTCCTCTTTGAACAGCATTCAGTGCCATGGGCTCTAGAACGAGTTTTCAAAAAAGGAACCATTCTGGCTAGTAACAGCCCTGAGATGCCCAGGCACGAGCTGCCACAGCCTCTGCCCCTATCGAGTTTGCAAGGAGAGGAGAGGGAAAGTACCTTTTCAAAAGGGCTCTTATCCTCTCGATCTTTTTCTCCTAAAAAAACCCAGTTGTCCCAGTAATGCAGCGTGGCAGCATAGGTGCTTCCCAGATTGGTTAACAGTGTCCGTGCTTCATCGTTCATCCTAAAAGAGAGAGAGAAAGGACTTCTGAACTCCACCCTACTCTACCCAGCTTTGATTTGTGTATCTGCTCAGTCCCATAGGATCTGACCACCTTCCCATAGTGCATGAAGTGCACTGACTAACATCTGCTGGGTTTTTGGATCTAGCCATGTTGGTCTGAGGACATAGGCAGGCAAGGTTATTTGAGTAGATGTGATATGTTTTATTAGACCAAGTGAGTAGTTGGTACTCAGTTGGTCTAATAAAAGATATCACATCCAGTCAAAGAACCTTGCTTGACTAACATCTGTCACATGTGCAGGACAGCTTTTCGCTTTGTATTTTTCACAGTGCAACTGTCAATGTTCCTGGCTGCTAAATGGTACTGCCCTTTCCTGCCTCTCCGTGGCTGAGAAAGCGAGGTCATGGAGGCAGGTGCACCTTGCCTTTGCAGGAAAGGTGGGGAGGTTTGTGATGGACTGTGGCTCATTCTAGAGTCCAGAGCCAGGCCATGGGAGACCTTTGGGGGCCGTGCCCTGCAGTGGTTCCAAACCCTGCCCCTGGATGCTCATGCCTTAGTCACCACCCTCATTTCACATGGGGGCCAGTAGCTTGAGCCGCTACTGGCCTCTGGATTAGATACTGAAGCAGCAGAGAGGAGCGATTGAAAATAGGCAGGATCCAAACCACTGGATGTTCTCTAGGTGACAGATCATTTGGGCATCCAGGGCTGCTCTTGAGCACAGATGCCACAAGTTTTGTGCCTGAGACATGGTGCCCAGATGCAGGCAGCTGGATTCTGGGCCAGCCAACATGTCCCAGGGCTGGAAGGTGCAGCCCCCTGCAGAGAGTGATGTACCACCCTGGCTCCAAATGTAGTTAGGACCGAGTGGAGGGTGGATAGTTGTGCATGTGGGGTCTGATCACACTGCCCTGGGCCCAGGGGGAGATTTGCCATTGACTCTGTGTGAGGAGACCTGGCTTCTGGGAGGCAAGCTCTGCTCCTTGGGTTGGTACGTACTTGGTGGCTGGGTCATCAAAGGAGGCGACTAACACCAGGGTGCCATTTTGGATGGTTTTCAGGAAGGCCACTAGGTGTTTGACATCTGGTAAAACAGAGAAAAGCAAGTGTTAAGGGCAAAGCATGTGGCCCATTTGCTCTGAATATGCCGTATCTGGGGGCAGGATCTAGACAGGTGCAAGTGCCTTGTCAGCTCCATTTCCCTCCCATGGGGTTTGTAGGCGCAAAGCATTTTGCAGAAGGCCCCATGCATCTTTCAGGACTGGACTGGTTGGGACAAAGGCTACTTTTTTCCAGTGCTGTAGTGTGAAAAGCAGCCCTTGCTAGAAGGGATGCATTGATAGAGATTTTTGGGGCCAATACCAATAGCTAATTTTTAAGGAGGCATATTGGCCAATGCCAATCCAATCTCTGATATGCATCTTGGCAGCTGGAAGAGCAGTGTTCAGCTGGTAAGTCTGTTGTGGTGAAATGGGTGGGGCGGGGTGGGGGGTGCAGATCAAGGGCCCTGTGGTGAGGGAGGGAAGGAGTGGGGCCTCGATCTGTAGAAGAGAGGCTCTACCCCACAGGGTATGAATGCTGCTTCGGGTGCCCTGGATTCTGCTGCAGATCCGAAGCACTGTTGGATTCTGAGT